AATAATTTTAATTAATTAATTAAATCAAAATTAACATTTACATTTTCAATAATAATTAATTATAAAAAATATATATTTATTATACTCTTATTTTATACTTTAAAAGTATAAAATAGAAAAACCTATAATAAAAGGTTAAAAACGTCCTAAATAAAATGATTGCTAACCAAACAGCCCTAAATCAGCAATGAAAATTGGCGGAATAATGCAATGTAGAAGGAGCCTCTCAAGCTTTTGCCCTCATTTCCATGGTTCTCGTTTTCATTTTCTTGTATACAAAACGACTGCACAAAAATGCACTTTTGTCTTTAGTGAGTCATCACATCGGCTCTCCAGGTTGCGTCTTTTCTTGAAAATCAAATGGAAAAAAAGTAGTAAAATGATTAAAGTTTATCATCATAATTGCTTTTCGGTGGAAAGCATAATAATATACCTCCCCTTTCTGGATCATTTGCCTGGTCGAAAGAATATTCTAGTAGTATCTTTAAATTTCCTCTCATTTTGAAAGATTTGGGTAAGAATTAATTTTTTAATTAATAATTTAAAAAATAAGTTATTAAATTGAAATTTTTATTTATATAAAATAACGAATGGTAGAGTTCAAAAATGAAGTCATATTCATTGCCAAACTTCAACACCGTAATCTTGTTAAGCTTCTTGGTTTCTGCATTCAAGGAGATGAAAAGATGTTGATCTATGAATATATGCCCAACAAAAGTTTGGACTACTTTATTTTTGGTCTGATTCTCAAACCTTCTTGTACCAAAAAAAAAAAACATCTTTCGTTTTTTGAGGAACTGGACTAAAATGCATACATTTACCAGATCAAACGAAAAAGGCCTTAATAGATTCGCAGAGGTGGATGCACATCATTGGTGGAATTGCTCATGGGTTTCTTTATCTTCATCAAGATTCTAGATTAAGGATTATTTATAGGGACCTTAAAACAAGTAATGTCCTGTTAGACAAAAATTTTAGACTTTGGCTTGGCAGGAATGTTTATGGGAGATCAAACTGAAGTAAGAACTAATAGAGTTGTTGGAACTTAGTAAGTAGAAGTGAATATGATGCAGAATATAAGTAGTATTTGTATCTAAGGTCACATATTTTTCACTTTGCTTGTAATAACATTTTTGTAGTGGTTATATGTCTCCTGAATATGTGATAGATGGACATTTCTCAATAAAATTTGATGTCTTCAGCTTTGGTGTGATAGTACTCGAGATCATAAGTGGGAAGAAGAACAGAGGATTTCACCACCCGGATCACAATCATAATCTCATGGACATGTAAGCATAAAGAAACAACATATTACTTTCTTGAACAATGCCATACATATATGTTTGTTTTTGGCCTTCTATGCTATGCATATATTTGATTTTTAATATTTTTAGGCATGGAGACTATGGATGGAAGAAAGAGCATTGGAAGTAACGGACACCATGTTAGGTGACTCTTACACTGTTTCTAAGGTTCTACGCTGCATTCATGTGGCTTTGCTATGTGTTCAAAAACGACCAGGAGGACAGGCCAGATATGTCATCAGTGGTTCTAATGTTGGGCAGTGAGAATCCATTGCCTCAACCAAAACTTCCTGGTTTTTACACCCAAAGGAATCTACCAGAAGAAGAGGTTTCATCAAGCCAGTACGAATCTGTTTCAGTAAATGACGTAACAATTTCAAAGATGCAGGGACGGTAGAGCATCATCACTTGAAATAAAAATGTTAAACATAAAAGTGGAAGGCTAGTCTATGTAATGTAATAGTAAACATCCTGGATATCATTTTCTTGGCAGTAATGAGCTAAGAAAATTGTGTAGCATGTTATATAATGTCTCCACCGTCTCTTCAAATTACAAGGTTGAATACTACAGTTACACGCATTGAGGCTCCTAAATTTCTTTTTCTTGGCAGAATCCATGGTTTCAAACTTTAGTGGGTCACAGTTGAAAATTTTACTCTTTTTTTTTTTTTTTTTGTTCTTTATGAGGATTGTGAAAGGAGTAAATGGGGAAACCCAACTCCACTCTGCTATGGCAACTTTGTGGGCAAG